TATGTACAATATTTACATTATTCGGACTATTCTCCTCATCTTTGTCGCCATGTTTATCACAACGTTCCGGCCTTCTTCAGATGTTTGGAATGTCGAATTGAGCCCTTCATTTCGCTCACTGTGGTAGACTGTTCTAGTTCCACGTGCCATGTCTAATGGATGTCAGTTATCTCCTGTTAATTCTCCTCTTCAAGTTCTCCACTGCCTTAACCGTGAATTGAACTCACACTATTTTGGTCCTGTCACTGGATCTAATACCTGGCACAGTGGATAGGATAAAGGCGTTAGTTAGATCCAGTGACAGGACCCAAAAAAGTGTGAGTTCAATACCCGGTTAAGGCAGTGGAGAACTTGTAGAGGGGAATTAACAGGAGATAACTGATAACTAACATCCATTAAACATGGTACGTGGAACTAGAACAGTCTACTCCAGTAAGTGAAATAAAGGATTCAGTTCGACATTCCAACCACCTGAAGAAGGCCGGAGCGTACAACGGCCGAAACGTTGTAATAAATATAGCGACAAAGATGAGGACAATGGTCCGAATAATGTAAATAATGTTTATGATTGTTATTGCAATATTTTATTAATTTTTTAGCTCAAATATTTAACGGTGCGAAATGGGAATTTCTATGGATATTTTATTGTCGTAGAAATCGCCATGAGCTTACTCAATCATTAACTTTAAAATTAAGTTTCATGAGAATATTAAAATAGAAAAACTGTGAATTTTCCACGGGTTAAAACTAGTATTTATTTAATACCAGACGAGCATTAATACTGAGTATTCTATCGATAATATACATGACTAAAAAGAAATAATAAAAATACTTTAAAAATTCTAAAAAAAAAAAAAATACTAAATAATACACTGAAATATTTAAAATAAAATCAATGCTTACGCAGTGTGCTGAAATACAATTAATGCAAATCTGGTATCAAAATAATCTCAAAAATATATTATTTGGGCACCTCAAAATGGTGTAATGGTTAACAAGCTCGTCTCGCTCGATCAGTTATGACTAGATGCTCACAGATTGACCCATAATTTTGATTTTGTGCCACATCTAAGCTACGCTCAGAAAACCAACTTACATTATGTCATGAAAATGTTATAGAACAATAAGCCTAAAAGACAATCAGGAGATAATTCGAACTGTAGTCTATCTGACCCTTAGAAAATCATTCAGAAAGACATTTCGTTCCTGGCAAAGTTGGATAACCTTGCTGGAAATAAATGTTTAAAAAAGGTATATAATAAATAAGATAAACGAATATTACTACATTCGACGCCCATTTTGCATGCACTAATTAATAATTAAACGCTCTCCTTTGAAGTGAAATTCAAAAGGTATATTTTCTATGCTTTAAATTAATGATTAATTAATTAAGTCTCATTATATTCATCAATTAGAATTGGGCACATTTCAAATACAGATGTCCAAGCGAGCTATTGTGTACGTTTTAAATCACCAATCGTTTTAACTTTTCCTCTTATCCCTGAAAAGTTTCTTTGCTTTTATAAGTGATTTTTGATCGATTTTCGATCATTTCTGCACAGATAAATTAACAACGATACAATTGATTATTGTTCCTTTCGGGATATGAGATGAATGAAAAAAAAATTACCTTAAGGATTAAATTGTACAAATTTTAAAAAAGAAAGAAAATGCGATTATCTATTTTTGTTTTAATGAACTGTGTTCATTATTTCGTTGCAAAAGTTTGAAAGATTTTAATTCACTGAAATTGACACATGCAAAGATTATTCCTTAAAACTATATTTTATAAAGTAAATTAATGTTTTTTTTTTCTATAGGAATAATAGGTCAACCCCTACTGCTTAAGGCAAATCTAAACCGTTTTTTTTTTTAATCCAATGCTCTGGTGTTTTTCTTAATGATTTCACTCCAAAACGGTAATAAAGCCACTAAGACACAGGGGGTTACTGAGTGCTGACAATAAGAAAATGAAATAAAAAAAAACTTTATTAAGGAGAGAGAACAATAAAAGAAGAGGGATCAAGAAGACAGTAGATGACGATTGACATTACATTTAAATTTTTGAAGATCAAATTTGACCGGGAAGCAAGAAGTCTGAAGATAGTCCCACAGGTAAGAAGTTCGAAAAGCCAAACTGTTAAAGAACTTACAGTTACATCTAACCAATTCAACTGTAAATTGATGAGATCATTTTGCTTATCGAGTACTGCGTTTAAAATAATAAAGTCTAGGTACCACAGAGAAAAATTTATCAGAAAAATTACCATGAAAGTATTTATAGAAACGGCAATGGGAAGCCACATTACAACAATTGGAAAGTCACTGAAGATGCCAGTTCAGTACCAGTAATATTGCAGATTCTTTGGATTTTATCAAGAATCTCTAAATTTATAGCAGGAGCATCAGGCTATATGTGGCAGCAATATTGAAAGCATGGACGAATGGTAGACTTAAATATAAATATGTAAAAGTCATTTTTAATACATAATTTCAATAAAATAAAAGGCTCTAGAATTACTCAAGATAGAGATTTAAAGTTTTAAATAGAAATGGAGTTGTATAATATGAATGGTAGTTGTCAGAAGTGAAGAGTATGAGGATAGAGAGGATAGATAATGATTGACTTGTAGAGGTTATGATTGCGATGCTCAGGGAAGTACTACGCGAAGGTTTGTTTTACAAAGTAGCAGCTCTTGGGAGAAAGCTCAATGGGAGTTTCTCTTTACATTTAAAATACGGGGGAAATGAAGGTCATTCGACTTCACGGGAGTAGCACGTCTGGTTCTAGATGTAAAGGTCTGAACTGGTGGATCTGTTGAATGAGAGCTTATCTGAAAATTTACCAGGGAACTAGCGAGAGAGTAGTGATAAGCTGGCGATGTTGAATCTGTGGGAAAGAGACTACATAATGAAAAATAAGTTGCAAGCTCCAGCTTAGATAGATCAAGATTAATCCTTCTTTGGTTTAAACTGAATCTTCCATAAGATAATGCATAGTTGAAGGAACGAGATACTTTCTTGAAAAATAAATGAGCCGGGCGTTTTCGCCAGCATAAAACCAAGAAAATTCAAAATAAAATAATATTTATAGAGATATTGAGGTGTTATAATAACTGTGTTGGGCTAGATAATTATTTTTTTACGTCAGAATCTAACTTAGACATTTTTACATCTACCATTCGTCCAGGAATGGAATATTTTGTCACATCCGGTCTTTTGCTACGTATCTAGAAAAATCTAAAAGAAGTCTCTGCAAGGTTATCGGCACTGACATGGTATCAGAGTTGCAGTCACTTTCCCACCGCCGTAACGAAGCTTCTCTTTGCTTTTTTTTTTAAATAAATATTTTAATAGCAATTATTCTGATGGGCACCTCTTTGTGACTTTGACTTTAGTAAATTAAGCACAGTAGCAGATTGGCAGCAATGTCTCATTATAGTTGAAGTGGCTAGAAGTAACCGTAAGTTCTATGTTAACAGTTTCTTCTCTCGCACTTCCCGCTTAATTTTTGAAGATCAATGTCAATATTTATCTTTTGTTTCCTGAATTTCTGTTCTTTTATTGGCCTCTCTCCTTAATGTTTTTTTTTTACCAGATTTCTTGCCACCCACCAACGCCTTTATACCCTGGTTTGAATTACAGAAAATATCAACATTTTTTCAATTCTAAAATGTGAATTGGCCAATAATTCGTACATTGTGCCATTAGAATTGGTTTGGTTGTTTTTTTAGTAGCATATCCACATACCTATGGGTTATATAATGCCGAAATCTAAATATTTTGTACGGAAATTTTATTTACGTTTTTTTTTTTAGAGATAATAATGTTTAGTGATACAAGTCTAATATTTAACCTATAGCTGAGGGGGATTTGTACTTTTCCCAAGGGTATAAGTGCGTGAGTCATTATAACGAACCCAATTCCAATTGGAACTCAGCTCTTCGATTAATAATTAGGAGCAGTTACCCACTATCGCACATCTAAGATTGCAGTACCTGGTATTCCAAGCGATCACCCATTTAGGTACTATCCAAACTTCGGTGATCATACAGGAACCGATTTTTCAACGCGATTTGGCCGTAAGCGTTATCATTAGAGAGTAAAAGCGTTTAGTTTTAAATTTAAGTTCATCGAACAGAATCGTTTTTATTGTATCCTGAATTTCCAAACTTGGGTAAGACGATGAACTACATCTAACAGCAAGGTCTCTGATCAGGAGGTTTTGAAGAGCGTGGAACCACCTCTTAATTGCTGTCAGGGTGGTAGCTCTTGTTACGGTTCCATATATGGGCAAATAGTTAACTCCGAAACTGGGATCGAAGCACTATGAAAGCGTAAATATTGGAAAGTTTTATAAGATCAGCGCTCCGTTCAGTTATTTGTTTGGATAAGTCTTGTTCTTATGTACATCGTCTTTGTCATGTTGTATTGATAATGTTATAATTTATAAATATGTCCTGAAGATGGTTTATCAGACCGAAACGTCCGACGTTGACATATTAACATTAAAACAGCATAATTGTATATAAGGATTTTTGTTTTTTTTTTCCGTATATATTTTTCTTCATATATATATATATATATATATATATATATATATAGATATATGTATGTGTGTGTGTGTGTGTAGGTATATATGCGCTTTTGTGTACTGCAAGTTTCCATTACCTCATACACTTTCCAAAATCTTGCCAAATGACCAAACATCACAATTCGGTGGGCTGCGAACCTTTTAGTATTTCCTCCTCCTATATATATATATATATATATATATATATATATATATATATATATATATATATATATATATATATATATATACATAAAAAAAAATTTGATGGATTTTAATAGCGTGGTCCATTCAGTTTATCTGTTAGATTAATTACCATTTCCAGGATGTCTCACGAATGATTTAAACAGGAAATTATTGCAAAGAGTTTATTAATTTTCTTTCATGAAGTGATTTAACACTTCTATTTTTACAAACTTGTGGGCAGTCACTGCGATATCTATCTATCTATCTATCTATCTATCTATCTATCTATCTATCTATCTATCTGTTCATTATCTATCTATATTTCTAACATTGTGTATATATCTTTTTTACTGTGAGATTCACCCTGTACAATTCTCGAGGGCCACACGACATAGATGGTTACAGAGTAAGAGGCACAGTATATATGGATCCTGTTCCTATCTATCTATCTATCTATCTATCTATCTATCTATCTATCTATCTATCTAAAGTAAGGGTATTTGTCCGCTCGGAACATTGAAATTTACTTAAGTACATAATTACATGAGTACAAATAATAAATTATATATATTGTAATTCTTTAAAAAATCGACATTTTAGGAATAGCAGTCATTTATTATTCATTAGTAATATGCTCTTCTGCAGTTGTTATTGAAAGAAATAAGATTATACTCATGACATTTATAAATGAATTGCTCAATTACGCAAATAAAACCATTTTATGCGTTGAACGCAAACCACCTTAGCATTTAAATCAAAGTCTGAACGTAAAGGGACGTTAGTGATATAAAACTGGAATTAATAATTCTGATATTTTTAATAGAATATTTTAAAAATCTAACTAATATACATTACAGCAGGGGCATATTAGATATGAAAGAAATAATTATATAGGACGCTTAATTAAAATAATTTTGCGAATACCGTTTGCAAAATTGCAAACGATTGCATAGAGCAACAGGAAAAAGAATGGGCACTTACCCTACCTCAACTCCAGATTTCATTGTTCACACACACACACACGCGCGCGCGCATGTATTTATTTTAGTATATTAGATCGAAAACACGTCAAAGTCTCTACACAAATGCAGCTGTGTTTCAACGTATATCAATGCGTCTCATCAGGCGCTTGTAAATGATTGGCGAGTGAACGATTTATTTAGATTTAAAAGCAAAATACAACCTCTTTTTACGAAAAAAAAGAAAAAAGGGAGGTTACAAAGTTTGTGGGCTTTACTTAGATCAACCAATCGAGTATGACCTACGTTAAATTTAAACTAAGCGAAGAAGCAAAAATTAAGAAATTATTTTCCATAAATGGGGCATGACCCATAGATTGGCAGTCAATGTCATTTCCTAAGAAAAAATGAGATGGAGTAGTAATTTAACAAAATGTTAAACAAGTTATATACTTTGTGAGTTTCCTACATAAATAATTTTTTATAGTTGATAAATAAATAGCTTCTTTAAGAAACCAATAAATAATTAAAACTTATAGAATTACTTGGTAAATTAATAAGAAACTGTTGACTAAAGATTTTTTTATATAAGATATTTATAGCAATAACTAATGAATGTAAAATGTCAAAAATACCAACCAAGTACCAATACATCCGTACAAGATGTTACCAATACTACAAGGAGATTAATACAAAATTATATTTAATCCAAATTAATCTTACAAATAGAAAGATAAGCCATAAATGGTGCAACACGGTTCAGTAAATCTAAGAAAAAGCATTGTCAAATTCCAAGTCTAACTTAATTGTAAGTTAAGAGGTAGACTGTTTTTGCAATTTATAGTTAACTCAGATCTTTGGTTTAATAAAGCATTCTTATCAAAGAACCTGATAATTTCCAATTTATTTTCTCATCTTACCTGGATATATATATATAAAGAGATACAGTTATTAGCTTACTTGAAATTTTCATTTATAAAGCTTAATATATCAGAATGTCGAATTAAGTGCATTGACAAGTCAAATATTTATTATGGAAAAGAAATTCTTTAGTTTTCACCACTGGGCTACAGATTTATTGATCTATTCATGCATAGATATATTTTGGGCGGGGAAGAATATCTGCCTATTTGTTTAAGTATTGATTAAAATCTCTACTTCTTTTGTTGGACGTTGTTTTTATCATTTCGCATATTACCGGCTTGTTGCGTTCTCGGTTGTTTTACGCATGCGCATTAACATCTTCTGCTCGATAGTTTTTATGTTCAGCGGATTAACGCCATGCTTGCTATTTTTTTTTCTTATCTCGAGCCGATTGATCTTACCACGTTAATCTAGGAATCAGCAGGTTTTACATTGTTCGTGTATTGATCAGCTAACCGGATTTACCGATCGTGGCAAGGATTAGATTCTTGGTGCTAAGTAAGTAATTACCGAAAGGATTAATACATGCGTGCCTACATTTCTGTCTACCTGTCTCTATGTCTTTAATTCCATATATATATATATATATATATATATGTACGTATGTATTAGTGTGTGTGCGTGTATGCATAATCAATATTAGTGCATGCATTAATCTATGTTTCAATTTTCGAAAATTTAAAAAAAAAATTCTTGAATGCATTGATTGCTTCCTTGTAAGAGTTTTTAAGAATCTGCAATGTTGTGAACCATTCCGTTGTCTGGCTCTTAAAAACAACACTTTTCCCGTAATTTATTCGGGTCGTATGGGGCATCAAGTGCACCAGAGTCGTAGCCCCAGAGACATGTTCTGGGTAAGAAAGCCTGAAGATATTTAGAGTTTTCTTAATCCTAGAATGGAATAGATAATTGATCCTTGCCTCATCATGATGGCGGTCACACGTGGTATAATTAGCGTGCTACTGCTACAAGAGTCGGATCCCTAATAGAAAAAGAGAATACAATTCGATTCCTGATGGTGAGGCATTTTTTTAGGAGGAGATCAGTTTCATTGTTTAAGAAAATAAAAAAAGGGATATCACCTCAAACATCTCTATCCATTAAAAT